CACAGAACACTATCATGAGATAAAAATATTTTATGGTTACTCATACGTTTAAGCATAATGATTAGTTTGGTAAATAGAAAACAAGAAACATACAGGAGAGACATAATTTGGTGGATACTGATATGCTATTACAGTTCCCTGAACATTTTCAAAGGTTGCACAAAGAATCGCGGCTAGTTCCGTAGTTCGAACTCCAGCCTACAAAGGAGACAGAAGTGAAAACAAGTTAAACATACACTCATTTCTATCAAAGAAAAATACAGAATAGTCGTCCTGAATACTTAAAAACACTGCGTGAGATTACTAAATCCTCAAAAGGAGATGATAACAGATAAAGCTTCATTGTAAACTGAAAGAGAAGTAGGTCACCAGATTGTGTAACAAACTAAATTTGCGACATAAACAAACATCACTTCACCAGAAAATATAAAGTATGCTCTGTTTACAGCACAATCAAGTCTGCAGATGTTAGTACTGAGACTATGGTCTCGAATTCGAAGAAACTAAAATAAAATTGACTTGTATCTTAAGCATTCTGCTTGATTCAAAAACTATAAAAGATCACGATTTGAAAATACTATTCTGTAAATGTGCGCCTCACGAACTATGTCGTAATAATGCTGTTATTCTCATAAATGGAAAACTTTGTGCTGTATGGAGTGTGAAATGTTTCTAAAGTGTGAGTGTATCCAGATATAAAATAATAATAATATCCATCCAACAACTCTGGCATCAAGATTATTACTAGTCGGAAACTTAATGTTGAATTCACATTCTTGAGAATGACTTCTTTCACGACCAAGACTTTGAGTGACAATGCAAATAATGATCCTGACACCTGCTACTATGTATATATCTATCCTCACTCTACTCACCTAGTGAATGAATGAAGTAAAGAACAAGTTTCACCGAAAGCCACTGATGTTCACTAATAAAAGCATCCAACGGTAATAATATAATGAAAATGATCTCCATTCCCTAACAAAGATGCTGATTTGATGAGTTAATTTTGAGCAGTGTCACCGACAGTCTCCAACGAATAATTCCTAGCATCTCGAGTGACCCAGCTAAGTAGTCTATACTTCTTTAAGTGGTTCAGAGCAAAAATTAAAAACTTCATGGATTTTTATCATGTTTTAGTCCAACTGTCTTTAAGAAATCGACAGCAGTCGCAAAGTTTACGAAAATGTCAAATATTCCTGACACATCCATATGATAATCAGCTTGATTCTAGCGAATTCAATTGCCTGAAGGTTGAATAGAGTTTGGGAACGGTTAAAAAGAGAAACACAGACAGGCTTAAGGCTTGAAAAAGACGAACGTATTGAGGACATGTATACTGACTGTAATTACCACTTTCAGATCTGGAGGCAGAATCTAAATCTATAAACTTAGTTTTGTGAAAACATCTTGGCATAAGGACGGGGTCCAGAGAACTTCACATTCTGTTCTTCAGAACGCTACTCGAACTTACATAATCGTGTAAAAACTAACAGAAGCTTTCCATTCCGAACAGCAACTACCGGCAAGGTCCACTGCGTATGTCCAGTAGTACCTTTTTTCTTCAGTCTTATCGTAGATGTTCAAATGGGGATAAGTCTATCTAACTTCAAAATCTTGGAAATGTAGACCTGCGGCTCGCTAACCTAGCAGCCCCGCTTCCATAAACTGGGTTACATGTTCGAACCCGGCTTTACTCGGGGTTCGGATAGCCAGATAGCATCACTAGCTCTCACACAATATGTGTTACTCATTGGCAACTATATGGAAATGCAAGTGGCTGTTGAGTAATATTCCAGTTTTACAACCTCAGAAGTGAAAATTCTAATTGGGAAAAAGCAATTTGGTTTGTCGGACACAGACGGCATAATTCCTTTGGATCAAGACGTTGATAAAATACAAGGATTTGAATGCTCGCAAAGAAGTATGAGTGGGCATTTAAGCACAAGTTAAGTAGTTGTAGACGAAATATAGGGAAACACAGAAAAGACCCACTTAACATCTGTCAATTTGCATCACTATCGATCATGGTGAGTTAATCGAAAGCTTATCAAAGGGAAGATGTATTGTGAGGCAGTTTACTATGGTATACTTTATAGACTGGGTGCGAACTCTGAAACCAAAAGATACAAAAGCGACATAATTCGTATCATTCCTCGCGTGTTTTAGAACCACATGATTAAAAATGTCAAGTGTGAGATAGCGAAAGACAGTCAGACGGTGAGAATGTGAATTAGTTAGAGTGGCTGAGATATGCACTACATAAGTTGAACCATGGCCCTCCTCAACAGGCAAAGTTAACTATGTCAAATTTAAATGGGAAATGAATTATGGATGGTTAGAACACATTAAAGTCCTTGACTGTTGACGTGAAAGTTTATAGCGTTTTGCTGGAGTCGTCATTCTGTTGCAAAAACTTGGTGACATGGATCAAAATCGTCTACAATAACATCTTGAGAATTATCACTTGTGACTAATCCAAGTTTCTCCCACAGCAATACTAGAGTTTTTTAATTTCCCATCTTTAGACGTTTCACATACTATACACAAGGACTTTTGTCCATCTATCTGCCTAATTTCGCCATCTTTTGATTACTGTTTCCTATTCCCTTGCTATCGAATAACATCACGCGTCAGGCCCTCGAGTGGAATCCAAATAGGAAGCGACGAGTGGGTCGTCCTAGGGTGACATGGAGGAGATCGTGTGAGGAAGAGATGAGTTTGAGTAATCGTGGATCCAGCTAAGGAGTACGGCAGAAAATAGAAGTGGAAATGTGTTGTTGAACCCCTATGTTCCACTCGGAACCCCAGGGGAACAGTAGTAATAACAATTATTGTTATTCTTATGGAGTTAACACCAATATTTCAAGGTAAACAACGTAAAATCCAATGGTAGTAGTAGTTTACGAAGTAGTTGAGTAATTACCGGAAAAGAAAAGTGCACAGTGATGCATATGAAGCGACTTCCCTTCTAAAAAAATACCTAAATAACACTGGATTTTAGCTACTGTATATGATGGTCTTAATGAAGTGAAACAGCATTGAACCAACAGACAGCTATTGTAAACGAAAGTAACTCATGGTACTAAACGCTTCAATATTAACGAATAATAGAGTAACTAATATTTGTTTCTAGTTGACAGTTTTAGGAATCAATGAATTAACCTTCCGTTACGTCAGAAATTTACAGAACTGTGGTGACCTACTGTAAATATTCAGCTAACTGGACTATTGTTCCAAGGCATTTTTTGTACAATGAAACTTAAATACAGCATTGCTATTAAGCAGTCTTTTTAGATGAATAACAAGGGAACGGACTTTAATCAGGACAATGAGTGAGGAAGTGCAAACATAAAAAATTAACTTATCCTGTATTGTTTCTAATAGAATTTTGGGATGCTATGCTTGAAAAGCAAACTAATTTCGACGGAGAGTTTTCATTAGCACAGTCTTTTAGTAATATAGAAATTTATAAATGACCGCTAAGTCGAAGCTTTTCAATATAACTAGTAACGTCATCGGCCACATAGAGTTCATGAGCCATAATCATCAAGTGATTATTTTCTGATAAAGAAGTCTAGTCTACTGTCGTCATATGGCTTAGATGTTACCACGTTAGTAAAAAGAATTAATTAGATGATTATCAGGACGAATACTTAGGGTAACTGGAAAACCATCATTACAGACTAGTACTGTGAACCTCAAAAAGACTGCAGTCTTTTACTTATTTGCTCATTTCACAGAACCATTTATTACGATTAGGATTTAATTTCTTTGTATTATCCTTTCTTCCGTACACTCGGTCTGCCTGATTGCTTCAAACAAAGCAAGAAGGAATACACATTGAAAGACTGTGATTAACCTAGAACTACCATAATAACTGGAGGTTTGTGCTGTTTTATAAGCTTTACCTGATTTTGGTTTTCATTGGCTCATTTTTATGATTCCAGCATACTTAATTGCCTGCTAAAGTAGTAATTTTACTTTTCCTTATCATGTCTATTCGCTCCCTCCATCTCCTACTAGCTGTAAGACTTCCCAACATGCACCTTCATAAACTGTAGTTGTTCGACTATTAACTGTCTCACATTCATACTTTTTGCTCTATAAATGTGCTAAAAATTATTGCGTACCCTTTGAAATCAAGGAATCTCGAAGCACTTACACTTATAATATTTGATATTTTAAACTGTTAGTAACTGAGGAAAAAATAAAATGAGCTCTTTTTATTCTGCAAATATATTCGTTATTGCTTAGTTTCTTTTTTCTTTGTATCAAGCTATCCTTCAGTTTTATAACAAATTTAGTCATTCTGGAACTGTGTACTACATACTTTCAACTTTGTGAGGTGCTTTAATTGACCGGTCTTACAGACGAAGGGTGAGGAAAACATTCAAAAAATTCCATATTTCTTCGCTAATTTCGCATAACACAATTATGTATTTCGTATAATTCATATCAAAAAGGCAAAAGACAAAGCAAGCTGAATGAGAACTAAGTCGAATTATCTTCAGACAAAGACACTGTCTGCATACAGTCAAGCATTAATGCATGGCACTACTACTTCTAACACATTCATACGCTACCATCAATATCTCTAGACGTAGTAGAGTCGAATGGTGATGAGCATCTAGAATAATTGTCAACAAGCTTGTACAGAGCATTTGGTAAGTAGTGATTACAACATACGTCTTTTTTATATTCTCAGAGTTTGACGAAATTTCCCAACGCTTTAGGCTGATGATCACTGTGAAGTTACAGAATGTAACTGAAATACAAGCGGGTATACTCATACTTCAGCGCCTCGCGAAAAAGTGAGGGGCTGGTGAATTCACCTTCAACTAGACCTGGAACTACTTAGCTCACCATTGTGTCATTCTTAAGATCAAGATACCTTTGAAATTTGAGAAAAAGCATACAACGTAATGGTGTGGTACATCAAGTCGTTCAATTCCACTATACAAACAGAAAACTGACATATATTAGAGTTAATCATAAAAAGAAATTAGAGCATGAAGCTCAATTCTGTGAACACAGTCTCCGAAGTGTTATCAGTACAAGAGAAAAATGCAACACAATACAAGGTACACAATTCTAAAAACCAGAACAGAATTTATTATAAATAATTTATTCAAGTTTAGCACAAGTCAACTGAGCTACAAGTTCATCAGGTACACGAGCGACTTTTCGACGATATCGAGCTAGTGTGTGGGGACACAACATTTCAGTCCATCCAACAGGAACAAGAGGAGAACCACTTGTACTGCCAACAAGTTCTGATAAATCACTTTCAGAAGACCTTCCAAGACCAATAACAACTCCTAAATCCGGTTCAGCAGTGGATAAAAGACAAACAGAATTAGATCCACCCAAGTTTGCGTCACTTGTGGCCGCGAGAGAACAAGATAAAGCTTGAGTAGTTAACAAAGTAGATAAGGTCTGGGACGAAGTACTAGACATAATTGAACCTGCATTTGCATATGCTCCGGGTCCCAGAAGGTTGATTACACGAGCCCGCACAATATCTCCTGGTTTGAACCAATCACCTGGTTCCGCCTGATCCCTCTGAGTAGCACGAATATCCTCTCGTCTAATAAGACCCTTGAACGGTCCTGCAAGACAAGTATCCCCAACGGCAAATATGTCACAGCGAGCAAATTTCCATGTAATACTAGATACCTAGATAAAAAGAGTGAAATTTGTTAAGGATTATAAATGGATGCTACAGACGCTAATATCTTACTTATTTAAGCACACGTCAACCATGATGAAAAAACTGCATCAGAATGCAAAATGAACTACTTCAATGAAAACTTAAAACCAATGTAAAGTTAATTTTGCGTAGAATCGCCTTCCACCCATAACAGGACTTAAAAGTGGGACTCATTCCTATATGCCCAACAAAGTTCATTTGGAAAACCAAATACTTAATCAGGGCATAAGCAGAGTCGAAGTCTTTACCACAAAATAAGAGAAGCTGTGAAATTTGATGGTGCGCTAGAATGATTATTAATCATATCGACTCTTGCTTAAGTGTAACAATTATCATTTTTTTTTAAATGAACATGGAAAATAATACATATGTACACATACATGCTTTTGCTGAACCTCCCGTTTTCTCTCTAGTGCCCACGTTTGCGTTTAAATATAAATATTTATATATATACGTAATTTTATGTATACTCCGTTTTTCATCAAAAGCCAATAGGACACGTCAATTGCAATTAGTAAATAAAACAGAAAATACAGGTCAAAAGCGGTAGACCAAGCAGGACACAAAGCCGGTGTATTGCTAATTAGGCCGGGCTGACTTTGAGCATACTAAAGTTTTAATGTGTAGGCAACAAACTTTACTCTAAACGCTGGACAGTTATAATCTGCATCACCGTGTTATACATTAATATATCCGGTATGGAATCATTATGATAACGATAGCAAACACATACCGTTATTGTAAATTATTTTACATCATATATACAGGAATCCCTTGTGACTTACAGCCAGCAGCTCCCATCTCCTCACAATGGTGATATCAATAATTAATGACTATGTATTAGCAACAAGTTGCGGTCTGGCAGCTCATAACCACAAAAGCACAAAATAAGCCAACATCCCGTCCTGACAGTTTCGAAATTTCAACTCTCCCACAATAACTAACCATAAAGCGTGTGAATAAGCAACTCACCTTTGCCAATACCAGTGAGCCTATGTTAGGCACTACGCCAGCGGGTTTCAGTGGGTCTACCGAATAAGTTTTCTAGTGGTAATAATAATAACTACATGTTAAAAATATGTTATACTGTTCCATCGGCATGCGATTCCTCCTTGACAAATCCAAAAGCACTTGACAGGATGTTGCCAGAGGAAAGATATGTTGATGAGCCACTTTTTCGGGTAGCATCAGAGGAGCATATTAGATCACCAGGTACAACGACCCTTTCACTTCTCATTCTCAGGCTACAAATATAAAATATCCAATTTATTAATTGCAACTGATTGCAATAGACACTAATCTGAAGTGAAAGACGTTATAGAGAGAAGAACTGCGGACAAATAGTTAGAATACACAAACTCAGTCAGTAACGAACCTATTTGAAAATAGAACGGTGCGTTTCGACATCCAGTACAATACCTCTTAACACGACCTTCAAATCAAATATAATTTTTGCGAGCTAGTGTGCGCTAATTTCATTTCTTTGTGTCCACTTCTTGATGGTGAGGAGAAGGTTCCTGGTCTTCGGTAAACTTTTGCATAGTTCGTCCAACCACTTGATCGTCGTAGCTGGTATTAATCAGAGATAGTTTGTAGTATGCGGTATGTTAAGAGCTGATCCTTTCACATGTTAATCATCCGGTGTCATAGCAAAAAGAGATAAAAATAACAGATGTAATTTGTGTAGGTTATATGGATTTCCAACATCCAATATCCTGATTACGAGCTAGTATAAACCAGTGATTTCTTTGAGCTCGCTTCTTGATTGTAAGGTAGAGGTTCCAGATCTTCGGTGAACTTACGCGTAGTAAATCCCGCCACTCGACTGCTTTAGCTCTGGTTGACTCCAAGAGGAGTGGTGCGAGGATTGGTCAAGATTGTGGTTTGTAGTGTGCAGTATGTTAGGACTCAGCTGCTGCCGTGAATGGAGTTTGACCTAACACCCGTTGGTCATTCGGTGTAGTCATAAAAGTAGAATAATAATAGGTTGTAGTGTAGATAATATAGGTTGAGATAAGTGAAATATTAAAGGTGAAATAATAAAGAAAGAAAGAAAAGATAGAGTAGTCGGTACAGTGGGAGAAGACAGGAAGGGTCGTGGGGATTTAGCTTGTATGCTTATTCATTGACAGTGTGGTTTCAAATTTTAAGAGGATAAGCCATTGAGACACAAACCATGTATTTCTGCACGATTGTCCAGCTTCCGCTTAAAAGTCTCCACAGATGGCGCTGTAGTTACGGCCGCCGGTAAAGCGTTCCAGAGACGGCAAATTCGAAGCGAGAAGAAATGTGAACGCACTGGAGTCTTTGGTCTCTGGTGTGCTATCCTTAGCGGGTTGCCTCGTGGAAGCCTATAATCACTTAATGGCAGGATGCTCTTATTAGAGTGGGCCTGATCATTTAAGATCTTATAGACGGTGATAAGGTCTCCCCTGTGACTACGTTAACTAAGTGTGAAAAGACTTAATTCCTTCAGTCTTTCCTCATATGATTTGTTGCGGAGGCCGATCACCCATTTTGTCGCTCGTCTCTGGACACTTTCTAGAATGTTAGCATCCCTTTTGAGTAGCGGAGGAGCAATGATATTATGCACCTCAAGGAGTGGCCTCACGTATGTCATATACAACCTTAAGAATAGTTCGGAAGTAAGAGCTCCCAGCTGCCTATGCATAAAGTGCAAAGTAGCGTAAGCTTTGGCGACATCCCTCGTGTAATTTACACTGGTGTCTAGCTTTTCTGTTAAAATAAGACCTAGGTCGCGTTCTGATGGCACACAACTCAAGTTCTGGCCACCAAAGGTGCAATTTGCACTCTGTGACCTGCCGGAATGAAGTTGCACTACTTTGCACTTCTTTAGGTTGAAAGGCATTCCGTTAGCCAGAGCCCAGTCTCCCAGAATTTGCAGGTCAGCCTGCAATCTCTTGGAGTCTTCCGGTGAGTTTATTGCTCTCCAAATCTTTACGTCGTCAGCGTAAAGAAGCGCAGAGCAGTTCAGTTGACAGGGCAGGTCGTTGATAAAAATCAAAAACATCAACGGCCCTAAGATAGAACCCTGAGGAACCCCTGATGCCAAGGTGTGCCAGGATGATCGGATGCGGTTGACTTTGATGCAGAATTCTCTCTCGCCTAAGTAATCTTTCAGCCATGCGAGAAGTGCTCCAGAAACACCCGCTTTGCTTATTTTGTGAAGGAGCAGACCATGGTGAACTGTGTCGAATGCTTTCGCAAAGTCGAGAAAGATCACATGGACTGGTACCTTTACATCCCAGGATAGTGTCCAATCGTTCCAAGCTAGCAGAAGATTCGTCACACAGGATCTTCCCCTCCTGAAACCATGCTGTGCTTCATGGAGTAGGTTAGTCCCGTCGAAGTATTTTCTCATGTGGTCGTCAATGAGACTTTCCAATATCTTCGATATCACTAGGAGTAGCGCAACTGGTCTGTAACTGGTCGCGTTCTGCCGGTCACCACCCTTGAAGATAGGGGATAGGATGGCTCGTTTCCATTCACATGGAAGTTTCCCTACATCAAAGGAGTGTTGAAACAGATCGCTTATGGGTTGGCAGAGACTTTCTGAACACTGCTTCAGGACGGATGGTCTTATGTCATCGCAACCTGCAGAATTTCCCGAAGCCAACTTTCCCAATTTTACGAGTACCATAGCCGGGGTAATTTGAAATGTACCCAGCAGGTTTTCGCACGTTGGTCTTGCATTGTAATCTTGATGTTTTGTGGGGGCGAAATCCTCATTACTGTTCAGCTGCCTGTGAAAGGCTAGACTGGATGTCTCTGCCATTTCAAGACTATCAAGAGATTTCCCATCAGAACCCACTAGATTGCAAGCTCCCTGGCTGGTTGGTTTTCCTTCAGACATAAACCTGTATAGGCTTTTGGGGTTCACGAGAAGCTTGTTGGCGATGTTTCTCTGAAATGTCCTTCTATCACTCCGGACTCGTATGTTACATTGATTCCTGAGTTCGAGGTACACTTCATGTTCGGGTTGACTCTGCGATACTCGCCACGCAAACCAGGCTTTTCGCTTCGCCTGTAGAAGGCGTTGTGTCCCCCTTTTTAGCCATGAACGTTGCTTTCTAGCTTTTGGTGTGACTAAAGGAACAGTGTCTGAGACCGCCTGGTGAACGATCTCCTTTACCACTCCCCAGTGTTCTACTCTAAGCTCTGTCCAATATTTTGGCCAATTTGCTTCAGACAAAGGTCTCCGCATTTCGGTGTAATTTGCTTTGTTATAACACAGATAGGGCTGTGTATTGTCCCACTGTAAACGCTCGCGGAGGACTATGTCGAATGTTATGACCGCGTGGTCACTACTACCTATGGGAGTCGTAATCTGAACGTTTTCCACAAGTAGCTGGTCACTAGTGAGCACATAATCCAGTCTAGAAGACTTCCCATCTGGGCCCCATCTAGTATCCATTCCGACATTTCCAGTGAATCCGGCCCCCCTGATGGTACGCAGCAGATTTCGATCAAATCTATCCTGGGC